GCCCCTGCGAGATCCCCTTTGACATGCCCATCTCGAGGGAGTTGTTGGTTTGTCGAGCATTACTTCATCCCCGAGGTGGTCGAATAGAAGTGTCCCTACGTACGCTCTAATGACGAGCATTTCCTCGTGTGGGTATCTACCTCGTGCGTGCCTGAGGACGACGCGTAAGAGCCAGTCATATGCTCGTCAGTCCATAAGGGACTCGTGGTTGATAGTTGAGCCACGTGGCTAATGCTTTATGGTGCCACCCCTTCAAGGAAAAAGCAAAAAGGGCCAATAAAATAACGACCACAACAATGGATGGGCACATACATCAAACATTGTTATTCATCAAATAACTATTGTAAACAAAGCATTAATCAAATAAACAGTTATAAACAAAGCAATTATAATATTCCAACCACAAGGGCTGACGTTGTTCAAAATTAAAGTTTAGGCACGACAACCACAAAACTAAAAGAATGATAGCGGGAACACAGACCCTAAAATAACAACAGGCATGCAAGCCCTGAACAATAAATATAATCAAACTTCATCCTCCCTGTCACTGCTATCAGCGGGATAAAGGATCTTCCCGTCAACAACCTGGTTAAATGGGCCTGCCCCCTCGACCACTATCTCGACCCCCGGGTTCAAGATCTTCAGCTGCTCGACGGCAGTATTGAAGCCGTAGCCAAGGGTATCGACCACGTCTTGTTCGAGCACGCGGATGCGAGCAATCAAATCCTCCCTGGTCTCCATGTTCTTCTCCATATCGGTTTCATCCTCGGCTGGCGCAGTGATCCCCTCTAACTCCAAATAAAGGGCGACCAGACGCTCGTTCTCTTTAGTGGCTGCCTCCAGCTAGGGTCTTAGCTCATTCAAATCCTTGAGAAGTCGAACTTGGGCCTCGAACTTCGACTCGTGGTTGAGGATATCGCACTTCAACTTCTCATTTTTGGCCTTCAGCTTGTGAATTTTGGCGAAGGCCGTGTCGAGAGAGGCTTGAGCAGTCGAGCATTCATCGTTGAGCGAAAGAGTCGTCTCGAGCACCCTCATCATAACAACCACGTCCTTGGCCAAGTGCTTCCGGCGAACCTCCTTGTCTTCAGTCAAGATCGCTTCCCTCTCCTCCTCGCGCACGCCGAGGGAGTTCTCCTCGCTGAAGAGGTTGCAGTTTAGATATCAAGGAGGCAATACAAAGACCCCCGTAAGCGTTTTGTCACCCTCGGGCGTTACGCCCATAACGCTATCTACACGCTTCCTCTTAGCCACGACCTCATTGACGGGAATCTGGGCCAGTTCAGTAGAGAAAGCATGATTTTTTGACGAGGAAGGAGAACCACTGGCCCGACCGACAAACTTGGCCTGTTCCTAAAGTTGGGTGACTCTGTTTTGTGGCCCAGAAGTGGATTCGTTCTTGGGCCTCAGCTTCAACAGATGCTCGGAAAGAGATGCCATTCGATCGGCAATCAAAAGGAATCGTTAGTCGAGTTGGAAAAATCAAAAATAGCGCGAGCACTTCCCCGCATAAAGAGGAGAAAATTAACAGCTACGCTCCTTACCCAAAAGCCTCATGGCTTCCCCATTTGAGGAGCACTCGAGCAAGGCCTTCGTGTTGATCAACCTATTGACCAAGAGATACTCCCCCTTGTCATCGAACAACTGGTTGTTGTTCACATCCACACATTTCGCGGGGGAGAAACTCTTAACATAAGCAGACAGCTTCTCGTATGAAAGCTGGTCTTAGGCCTCCAAGTCCTCGGGTTTCACTGCATAGTATTCGGGCCTTTGTTCATAATGCTTCCATTATCATTCGAGCGGGAATTTGGCCAATAGTCGGGTAACTGGCCGCTTGTCCTCCACCTCTTCCATACAAGTATAAAGAGAATCTATAGCCGTGTCTGTCAAGGGCTTCACGATGAAGTACCTCTCTTTAAAATCTCGGACGGACTCCAGATAAGGCCGAAAGAGTTTCCCGAATTGCTTGAAGGATACCCACGCCTGCCCCCTCAGACAGATTGTCTTTGCAGGTCAAAGATGCGAAAAAAAAGGGGGCGGCGTGGCGCCTATCCTCAGGTACTGGAATACGCGCTCAAAGGCCCGCATAAACGCCAGCGCATTCGGATGAAGTTGGGAAGGTGCCAACTGAAGCCACTGGAAAACCCCGACCTGGAAATCATTGAAGGGCAGGCGCATCCCCGCCTCTTTGAAAGCAAATTCGTACATGGGGAACCGTTTGCCCGGATATGTCGAGCATATCCTTCGGTCCCGATGGGGGATTTGGAGCATCCAATTGGAGGGGGCCCTTTCTACGCGTTCCTTCGGGCAATTGAACGCATCCGTCGCGTCTTGGGAAAAGCACGATCGTTTATCCCGAGGCTCCAGAGCGACCCAAGCCAAAGGATCCTCATCAGTATGGGTCTCGTCTTCGTGATGGGCGGTCGGAATATCGTCCCCGACTGAACGCGCCATTATACTTGAAAAGCAGGGGAAATTAGTGAATTCGACATTATCAAATCCACCCTTCCACCGCAGATCAAGTGAAAGGGCGACGAACTCGACCCAAGCCCTTGACACGCTAAAGCTGACCATTATATTACGAGGACATGTTGTCGGGGGGATTACTCATCGAGGAAAAAGCCCGAGATACCCCCTATATCCGAGGAAACCATCCCCAGTCACATACATTGTTCGGGGAGACCCCCAACGCTATAACTGATGAACCTTTATAGTGTCCAACATATTCATAAGTGCTCGACACAGAATCTATGAACTCAAATGAACATTCATGAGTATTCATCATAAAACTCGTAAATGTTCATCCAATCAAGGCATAATTTTAACATTTAATCCAGAAACGCTCAAGAAACATGGTGTTAAGAGGTTATAACTTACTTGGATAAAGAACTTGGAGAGAGAATCTAAGAATATTGAGAGGATTGCTTCGCACAACGAGCAAGGAAATCTGAGAAGTTGAGAGAATTGCTTCACACCACGGACAGGAAAAGATTGAGAGAAAACTTGAGAAGTTGACAAATGAGACCCAGGGGCCCCCTTTTATAGGAGACCCACGCCCCAAGGGATCCCTCACGAAAGGTCATAATTTCATTGGCCCTTTTTGCTTTTTCCTTGAAGGGGTGACACCCCAAAGCATTAACCACGTGACTCAACTATCAACCACGAGTCTTTTCTGGACTGACAAGCATATGCCCGACTCTTATGCGTCGTCCCCAGGAACGCACGAGGAAGATACCCACACGAGGAAATGATCGTCATTAAAGCGTACGTAGGGACACTTCTATTCGACCACCTCAGGGACGAAGTAATGCTCGACAAACCAACAACTCCCTCGAGAAGGGCATGTCAAAGGGAATCTCGCAGGGGCTACCCGCCACTAATACGTCCCCTCGAGCAAGCGGCTGACCCCTTCGGTCTCGATCTTGTCCCCCACGCGAGCAACAACTCACTCTGTTCGAGGGACTTTGGTCGTCTACCTCGATCAAGTCTCCGGTATCGAGAGTTGAACTCAAGTCACCGCCTTCTTGCTCAAGGGCAATAACTTGGGGGACTCCTGATCTGGATTGGGCCAACACTTGCCCTTCCAACGGGAAGCCCAAAGACAACCCAAGTTAGGGACCATTGGGAAAATCCCCATCCGACCGTTGGAGGACGTGACCCATGTGCCCACGACAACCATCTTAAATTGCCCTCCGGAAATCACGGGTCCAACCCTATTCTCGCGGAGCAGTTGACCAGGGGGAGCCCACTTGCTGGGCTCCATACACACGTAAGCCTTGGCAGTTCATGTTATTGGGCCTTAACGTGGCCCAAGAGTGGGAACCTTGGCCCAGTGCTGGGGGCTATAAATACCCTCTCTCTCAAGAGGATCAGGTATTCAATTCATATCTTTAAACTCATACTTGCTTGCTCATTTTGCCACTTACTTTACCATCAGAGTGTCTTACAGGTACCCCCCATCTCATTCAACTTCTGCTCGAACCAGCTGTGACGGTTCATTTCTGATCTGGTAAGATCAAGTACCAATATATAATGTTGGATTACAATACTTGATCTTTCTATTGAATATTGAAGACTACAATTTTTTTCCAATCACGAGAGATATTGATGTTCTTCTTGCCTTATATAAAGCAATTAGCAGTAATTTGTTTTGAATATTATGTTAGAATTTTGTTTAATATTCCCCGTCCTATATTATAAATAAATTTTACTTTTTATATTCATTAAATAATTTATATATCTAGACTATAGTTTAAATACATAAATTATTTAATAAATCTAAAAAATAAAATTTACTTATAATATAAGATACAAAGAATATTGTTCTTTCTCAATTTCCTTCTTTTTGAAAGGGAAGATCATGCTTTTAATGTTGATGTTAAGTAGAAAAAACTCTCTTAACTATGTTCTTTTTGTCATATTATTGGTTACTCATTAGAACATTTCCGTGCAATTTTTTTTTTTGAAAATGAGGAAGGAAAAGACACGTTATATTCCAATAAAATCTAATCATCTCATAGAAAATGTTACTACAACAATAGCAAATGAGTTATAAAGAAAATATACAATTATTATGAAGAAAGATCCATTTGTGGATGAGGTTATACAATTATTTTTAGATAATACTACTGGGCCGATTAAACATACACATGTTCCTTTATTAGAGAAAAATGACTATCATGAGATTAAAAAATAAAAAATAAGTACCTTAAGAAAGCAAAGTTCATAATTTTCAACGGTTACAAACTTAATGACAAATCAAGAAATGATACAACTAATATGCGTGTTAAAATGATTCATGATACGGAGAATTTTAAAAATTAGTTGGGTAAAGATGCTACAGTAACCATATGACTCATACTGATGAAGCAGAAAATTCTTTAATAGAAATGATCTCTAAGACAAGGAATAAAAACAATTCAAAGAGGTTGTGGTTACATAACATCCTATTAAAGGATAGTAAAATTATGTTATTTGTCGAATTCTCTATTACGGTTGAACTAGGGGCACTTGGGCTTGTTTCCGTGAGTAGTCATATCAGTGTAACACTTCCCACACAATTGTCTGTTACCATAAGTACCTGGAGGAACACAATTGCATCTCAAACAACATGTTCCACAAGCTCTCAAACAAACATTTTTCCTTGAATGCTTACTACACCTCGCATTGCACCTTGTTCTACAGTCTTTAAACCAACAAAAAAAAGTGAGAAATTAAGGAAGATTGACATGTGTGAAAAATCTTGAACCCAAGAAATTAAGCTAATTGATATCATACCTACAAATAACAAAAGCCTTCTATTAGGTCTTTTTACCACCTTCAACACAAAAAAACCATAAGGTTAGAATATAAAATTATCGCTCTTTCTGGTCACTATTATAATTTTTTTAAAATATTTATTCAGTTAATAAGGTATTTGAATCTATTTATAGACTAAATACATTGTTCATCCAATAAATCTAAAAACATAGCTAGATAGGAAGACATGCAACCTCAAAATCAGTTAATTGGTCTTGCATGTGGACACTAGAATCAGCACATGATACCTGCAAATTAAGCTCAAATCCTCAACAAAGGTAATTTTTCTTAATTAAAAAAATATAGAGCAAGTGATTATAAGTTTTGGAGCACTTTACCTTAGCCATGCAGAACAACAATGCAGTTGTCATAAGCAGAAATGTCAAACACATCCTTTTCTTCTCCATTTTGAAAGTAACATGCACGATCAAAATTATGTACTTTAATGTTTAAGGAAAGGAAATAATAAGTACTATGTTGTGTTAAGGAACAACGACATGGTTTTATATTAGTGATTCTGTTGTTGAAAGTACTGTAACACCCTTTTTCTATATTAGTGATTCTTGGGATTTGTAAGCTAAAAGATAAACTAGTCATCTAACAAAAGTGCTTTGATTGTAGTGATTTTCTGTTTTTCTATTCCCATTTTACCCTCTTATTTTGGTAGATGTTTTCATGCAATTTAGTTATGATGTTAATATGATTGATGTAGGTTGCATATTGGACCAATTGATGAAGGGATGGGTTCCGGTGAGTAATTCAGCTCTGTCATATCTCTTACGGGGCAGCTTCTCCTTCCTTGTATGGTCTCAACTTTCATGGCTTGACACGGCACTAATCAATGCTAGCTGTATTGTGAATGACAGATAGATTCTTTCATTTGTTTTTGATAATTTTCATCGACATTTGTCGTTTTGAAACTATCAATTTGCATGCATGCAATGCAATGCAAAAGATACCTTCTAGAGATATTATTGTTTAAATCAAAGTACTCTTCATTTACTTGTTTTAGAAAAGGTTTCATCAAGAACTTCATAAAAGGAAAAGAAAAGGGTGATCACAATAAGAAATGTGCTTTGAAAGGACCATGATGGCCATTATTGATAATCATTAGATTTAGAAAACATTTTATGTATGGATCAAAATAGTTTTGGTCATCATAGTCCAAACTACTTTAATATTATTTGTTGTGACAATCGCCGTTTCTAATGATATAAATTGGAGAGAAAGAGAAAGTTTCTTGTATAAACATAAGAATTCGTATAATATACGATGAGAGAGAAGAGATAAGAGAAGAGAGTGAATATAATTAGTTTAACGCACTACTATAAAAAATACATTTTACCTCGGACGCAAATGTGATTTTACCTCGATTACACAAGTGAGGTAACGAAGGGCGTCATAAATACTCTCCACTTTACCCATCTATTTCTTATAAATCGAGGGAATAGTTCATTGCTACAAAAAGCACATTACACTCCAGTGTCATACCCCAAATTTGTCATACCCTTTATCAAATTATCTGACTTATGCATCTCATTCTCCTCATATGTATTATCTTTCCATTAGATCATTTAACACATCATGCATCATTAATAAATAAACTTAGCACGAGATCAAGGATCTTGAAGAGTTAGGGTTTCTATGCTTTGAGACCCTCATCATCACTCAAGCTTGTTTCAACGATTCCCTTCATCAATCATGGTTTTTAGAACTAGGGTATTGATTCACGGGCATTGTGGACTTCTTCTTCGTTAAGCTACAAGGCTATTCTCCATCGGGATTTATCAGATCAAATGTTAGGGTTTCATATGTTGTACTTAGGGTTTTATCATTGCTTCAACTAAAATTGTTTAGGGTTAGGGCTCCTACTTGGTTTGGAGTTTGTACATCAAGAAATATTGATTTAAGTGGTTCTTTTATTAAGTATGGATTGAATTAGGGGTTTGGATTCTCCTCAACATGAAAGGCTTTCCTTCATCAATCTTCCTCAAGATTAGGGTTGTGTATCATTGTACCAGAGCTTGATAAGGTTCTTTAACTAAGGTCGTTGGAATTAGGGTTTGGCTTTGCAATTATCTTGAGTATCTCTTCTTCAACTTTTCAAACTTGACATTCATCTGAGGGTTGCCTTTGAGTATTGGAAATCAAGAATACATCTTCTTATGATTTGGTTAGTATTTGGTGTAGTCCTCAAGATAATTGGTTTTATTGATTGAAGTATGGATCAAAGGTCAATTCATCATCCATCAAGTTATCGATTCATGCTTTATTCTTTCAATTTTTGGCTACTTCAAGTACAAGCTATTATGAGATGGTTATTCAAACAATTAGGGTTTTAAGGATCATGGCTTAAGTTCAATGTTGATTAAATGGTTCTTATGGAAATTTAAAAATGTTCAAGGATTGGATTTAAGTTCATTCATCAAGCTTGCAAGGTTGGAAAGAAAACACCTTTGGATTTCTTGAGATTTAAGTAACAAGGCATACAAGTTCAAGGTTATTCAAGATACCAATTCATCAAAAGTTCATTTTTAGTTTCAAGCAACTTCACACTATTTCATTCATCATTTAGAGACATCATTCACTACAAAAAAATCAAGTTCATTCAAATTTCTCTCAAGATTCATCCATGTTCATTACAAAGCCATGCCATCACGGAGCATTGAATAAAAGATTACAAAGGTGATTCTAATCCCAAGAATTCATAAGTCTTTCTAATGTGCAAAGTGCATAAAAATAAAAGTCCATAAACCTAATCTATAAATGTCCTATCCTAACCTTCAAAGCTTCTTCCAACCAGACTTCATATCTACAAGTTGCATCCATAAATCAACTCAAGCAATACACATGATTTCTCCAAACTTTAAATGACCAAGGCTTCTTTGAAACTTGTTCAAACCAAATCACAAAATTCCTAAACCTATAGTTTCAAATGCTGAACTTTATATTCAAGCCATGATTAATCCTCCTCCAAACATGACCCAAAAATCCTATGCCTTTGCTCAATTCCAAAACTTCCTTTTCGAACTTTGCTAAAACTCTTCAAACTTATCCAAGTAAACAAAACGGACCTGCAAAATCATGAAGCAAAACTTGTCAAAACCAATGCCTTGAACTCATCTAAACCGATGCCTTATTCAAAAAGAAAGAAAAGCTTTGCATCATGAAAACAAATCAGAAAAACAGAGAAAAATAGAAAAATAAATGAGAAACAATGGACAACTCACCATAACAGAATTTGCAAGCTCTAATTTGAACTCATCTTCACCATTAATCTGTAACAAACTTCTCAAATCTGAGGGCCAGGATCTATTTTTCTCGAGATAACTTTCAAGTCTCTCAACAACCTATAAAAGCTTCTTCTGCTTCATTCATCAGGAGATCATAATGATTCACCAAAAACTCTCAAAGCTCCATATATATATTCTCTCTCTCTCTCTCTCTCTCTCTCACACACACACACACACACACACACATACACACACAACAATAATCGATTTCTTCTGCACTCTCTCTTCAACCTTCATCACATATAACAATTATTCTACAGAAAATCTTCAAACTCTCTCTAAATTCTATCTCTACAACTGAATCTATCAACCTTCATCATCATCTTCATCACACTCTTCATCAGGCACAACAACATAACAACATCAACACCTCTTCTACGTCAATAACTTCACTCAACGCATCCTCAACATGTTTCAACAAATAACAACAACATGCTCAAAGAAAAAATGTGACAACAATGCAAAAACGGAAAAGCAAGAAGCAGAATAAGATAACAAGAAAAAAGAAGTACCTGAGTCGAAGGATTTCTGACAGTTTTGAAGCGCCATCGGAGATTTTCTGATCGGTAAGCTTCAAACTCTTATTTCTCTCCATTTCCGCACGTGATTCTTTATGCCTTAGCGAAACCTTGAATCATAAACGAAGTGGAAAGAATGACGAAACTTGAAGAGATTGATGCAGAGATGTGAGGTGGAACTTGAAGCAGATGAAAACGAAGATGAACAGAAATGGAGAAGAAGCGAGACAAAGACGAGATAAGAATAAAATGTGCATGGTGACCAGATGTTAGCATAAGAAATGGCGAGTTGAGCGAACCACATCGGCGAGCAGAATGAATAAGAAGAAGAGAAAAACGACGAAGAGAAGGAAGAAAAATCTTGTTTGAATAAAGCTGAGAAGTTACAAGTCAAGTTAACCCTAGCTTTGCCAAAACTACACTGTTTTGTATTTTTCTTTTTTCATTTTTTATTTCTTTTTTAATAATAATTAATAATAATAAAATCTGAATAATAATTGGAAATTGGAGAAAAAAAATTGAATGGTAATGCTTGTGAAGTAATGGACCGGTCCGTTGGGCTTTACTGCTTGTACCTCCCCTGAAGCCCGCACACTTTTTTGGCATTTGAGATCTAGCTCAAATAAAATTCATTGTTGGATCAATTTGCTTGGGCCTATGGATAGAATTGCTGCATAAACCTCCACTCAAACCCATTGCTACTCTTATTTGGTACACTTGAGAGTTGAACAACAAAAACTGATGTTGGATTTCGTTTGCTGGTGAAATTCTAACACTTTAAAGACATATTTTAAAACTGATGTCCCAACACCAAAACACAATGTCAAGACAAATGTTAGGATATCTGTTCCTGATACAACAATTTCCAGAAGATGAATTATACAGAAAAATAAATTGCTGAAGATAAAATAACAAATTTAATTATTATACCAGTTCGGTGCAACATCACCTACTATGAGGGCTACCAAGCCAGGAAGAAAATCCACTATAATAGTATCAGTTCAAAGTCTAAACAATCCCAGTTTACAACTTATCACCTAATCACTACCCTATGCAATTTCTACATAGAAACCTCCTAGATATGAGAACCCCTTTTCACTTTCCACAATCACCTCAGTGATAATAACAATCACAAACCCGTGACTAGATCAAAAGAACCAAATAGAAGATTTGTAATACGGTGGGAGAACTGACTTGGGTATTTTATGTTTTATCGCAAATGTTACGGATAGCAAGAGTCGCCACCGATTTTTCTTTTATCCAATAAAGGAACAGGTGAAAAGAGCAGGAAAGACCTTTCTAGATATTTTCTTGAGTTCGGGGGGTAGGTTATGAAAAGGGAAGGTGTTAGCACCCTTTTTATCCATAGTTATCTACGGGCTCTTAGTTGCTTGATCACTTTGAAAATGCTTTGTTTGAAATGTGTTTGTGTGTTGTACCCCAAAATTTGCCCTCCCATATTCTTCAAGATTTGCCAGGATCAATCTCTGAATGATTCAAAATCCCTCAAAGGTTGCACAGTCCAATGGCCTCCTAACACAGTCAAAATTAGGGTTTTGGTTCTTGCAAAGAAATTGAGGTTTCCAGGGGTCCAATCAAGTCCCATATGCCCATATACATTGCCAAGCATCCATATGTCAAGTTTCAAGACTCACAGCATCAAGTTGCACAGTCAAAAACCCTAATTGCTTCACAGTCAACTGCAGGGGCAAAATGGTCATTTGACAGTCAAAAGTCAAAATTTTTGGTCAACATCTTATTTTGAAGCCGCAAACATCATTTGATCAATTCTTGATCATGATTCTTAAAGCATGGCTCAAAAAGTCTCAAGATGCAAAAGTTTCTATTTTTGGACAATTGAAAAAGTCAACTGCAAATTGACCAGGGCATAACTTCCTCATGGTTTATCAGAAAAATCCCATCTAAAGATCATTTTGAAGAGGATGACATTTCCTACAACTCATCTTCACATTCCAAGTCCAAGAAGTGCTCTCACAAAAAGTTATCAATTTCAACATTATAGGTCATTTTCAAAAGTCAACAAAAAGGCACTTTAAGTCAAAGACCATAACTTGAGATTGGTAAATCAAAATGACATGGTACCAAAGGAATTGGTTAGAGGACTTCAAGACCTTTCCAAAATGTCCAAGAACATGATGATAGCTTCAAAATTGAGCAAGATATGCCTTGGAGAAGTTGGGAATTTTTTGGGAATTTTGAAAAGTCAACTTTGCCTAAAACACTTCAAAATTGCTAATGGGCCTCAATTTCTTTCTTGAATCATTACCCAAAGCTTATGCACGACCCATTGAGCTTAAAAGGATTTATTTTCTTATTTTTAATTAATTAATTGAATTTTTATTCATATTAATTCATTTAATTAGATTTAAATATGAGAAAAATATCAAATAATGCTTTTCAAATCTTTTTGTGCAGCAAATTCACTCATTATATGCTAAAGATTTCGTGCATCATCCAAGGGGACAAGATCATTCACATTTGGCAAGATTTCAATGAAAAAAAGATTGAAAAAGATATGGAAAAAATCAAATATTGAAATCATCAATTCATGGACTTATGGGCTTGTTTCTTGACCTAATTTCGTTCATATACTTATGCAAGACCTAACCTAATGCAAGCATACACGAAAAACTGCTCACAAACTCAGAACAAAGTTGCCACTTTTCATCAAAAACTTGGAATCTGAAATCACATTTGCAGGGCGATTCAAGGCTTCAAAACACTTCCATTACCTTGCTGACATTGCTAGGAAGCTATAGCAACCAAGAACAAGCTTCCACGTCCAAAGAAACGGTAGAACAGCATCGCGTTTTTCACAAAAATGTCCATTATCGAATTTTAATTTTCACGCATCATTCATGTGTTTTGATTGTTGATTTATGTTACTAACATCATTCTGAAGCGATTGGTAACGTTTAATTGGACTAACACTGCCTGTAGCCAAATCCACCATTGATGAAACCTAGGGTTTCAGAAGCTCCAAAATAGGGCTTTCCACATATGGTAAAATTAGACCATCAAACATACATGGACAGAATCGTTGCAGCAAGACGAATCCAATGATGCCCTCGCGCCCTTTTTATATTAACTCAGCTTCTAATCGCTATTTTCACAGGTTTCATTTAGTGGGGGTTTAAAACCCCCGCTACTTGTTTTCTATTTGCAGATAAACGAAGAAGAAAGCTAGCGTGTCATCACATGATAGGAGCATTCAAATTTGGCGCGTGATTTTTTTGTTCATACCACTAACACTTGTTTTTTTATATAATAATTACTCTCCATTATGTTAACAAACAAACGCAATAGCCCAGTTGGTTGATGAGGTGTCTTGCAGGTATAGGGACCTGGGTTCGATTCCCAGGTCCCCCCATATGCTTAATAATTTTTGTTTCAATGTATTCACATGCAGCACATTCTCAATGGTTCACCATACGTCCTCATACATTGGCTTGCCAGATGGCCTTGACCCACAATCTGAAGGCCATTAAAGGAGGTCTATCATGTACCTCAGTCAACCAAGGCACACACAAGCGTGGAAAGTCAAACAAGGCTCTATGCTAATGGGCCAGATTGCTTCAATTTACCTCCACATGGGCCTGAAAACCCCCCTTGGTTTGTATATTTTTCAATTCTATTTTCTCTTCTTTTTCTAATTCTTTTAATTATTTTTACTTAATTCACTTAAAATAATATTCTTTTCACAATAAAAAACAAAAAAATCAAAAATACAAAGTATGTCTAATTATTTATTAATTTACTCATTAATTTATTTTTGTAAATAAATGTTAATAATTAATTTAGTTAATTTAGGTTTTAAACTTTAATCTTTTCTTAATAAATAAAAAATATCTAGACTTAGGGTTTTTGACATTTTTCATCATTTTCTTAATTAATTATTTTTCTCATTATTTATTATTATAATTACTATTTATTTTTGTAAATAAACATGTATATTAATTAATTAGTAAATTAGAGTAACTTTAATATTTCTTTTTATTAATAATTAAAATATTTAGAACTAGGGTTTCCTTCTAATTTTAATTTTCCTTTATTTTCATAAATACCAAAAACCTAAAAAACATTTTCTTTTCTTTTATTAAATGATTAATTAGCTTTTTTAATTCAATTTAATTTCAAAAGGGTCAAAACCCTCAGATGTCCTAACTTTTATTCTTTCGCACGTTATTCTTTTTTCTTTTCGAATATTATGTAACTGCTCAAGGATTGTAATAGTAATTAGGTTTACCGCGTTTATTTACTTTCCGCATTTTTAATCAAACGGGTCTTTGTATTTTGGCGATGTATAGACTCGCGCCTTGTAATAGCGTAGCTTTTATCTTTCCGCATTTAAATTTCCTCACTCTTAAATTCTAAATTGCATGAAAGAATGTATGGTTAATTAAAAAACAAGCGTAACTCACAATACCATGATCAAAGATAAACTTAACATGAAAATAACACACAAATTCACACACCACTTCTAGGGTACGCCTTACCTGTTGCCTTCGAAACGTGGTCGTCAAGTATAGGACGTTTTAGTAAGTCCTTATGTTCATGATCCAGTTGCCTCAAGACAAGTTGCCTCGGAACAAGTTGCCTCGAAACGGTTGCCTCGGAATAAAAAAAGGATCAAGGACATAAGGGTAGCTTCTAAGGTGTCCTGCTGTTGCTTCGGTGACCACACTGTCCCTACACTCGAATTGACCCGAACACCTCCAACGGTGGTGCTACCTATCTCTCAATGGTGGGATGGCACTATCTTAAGGACATTTACACAGCCTTATTCCTTAGGGTAGGTAGATGACTCATAGATACTTGCTCTATTCAAAACAAATCAAAACTCTTTTCACACCGACACTTTCAAAAAAGCTTTCAAAACAATTTTTCAAACACTCTTGAGGACTGATACAAGAGTTATTCAGAAATATTCAAACGAAACTTTTTTTCAAACCCACTCACAATTGAAAAGCAAACATTTTGAAAACACAATGAGCAAGTATCTAAGAGCCCATGGATAACCATGGATAGAAAGGGTGCTAATACCTTCCCTTTCTAT